TAGTGTTCGAGGATGGCCGACCCAAGGACCACCTAGGTGTGAATTTGTTTAAGGTGTAGAAGCTGTCGCCAACACAACAACCACACCCTGAGTCAACGAGCTGCATGACCCAGTGTTTAAGGTGTAGAAGCTGTCGCCAACACAACAACCACACCCTAAGTTAACGAGCTGCATGACCCAGTGTTTAAGGTGTAGAAGCTGTCGCCAACACAACAACCACAGCTGTTAAGTTAATGAGCTGCATGACCCAGTGTTTAAGGTGTAGAAGCTGTCGCCAACACAACAACCACACCCTAAGTTAACGAGCTGTATGACCCAGTGTTTAAGTGTAGAAGCTGTCACCAACACAACAACCACACCCTAAGTTAACGAGCTGCATGACCCAGTGTTTAAGGTGTAGAAGCTGTCACCAACACAACAACCACACCCTAAGTTAACGAGCTGCATGACCCAGTGTTTAAGGTGTAGAAGCTGTCGCCAACACAACAACCACACCCTAAGTTAACGAGCTGCATGACCCAGTGTTTAGGGTAGAAGCTGTCGCCAACACAACAACCACACACCCTGGGTTAACGAGCTGCATGACCCAGTGTTTGGGGTGTAGAAGCTGTCGACAACACAACAACCACACCCTGAGTTAACGAGCTGCATGACCCAGTGTTTAAGGTGTAGAAGCTGTCACCAACACAACAACCACACCCTGAGTTAACGAGCTGCATGACCCAGTGCCAAGGAATAGTCCGAGAAGACCGGACAACTCGCCAACTGCACTGGCTAACCATTACCCCAGAACACAAATCGATTAACATCCAGGTTCCCAATTACTGCTGGGTAGACAGAGGCAAATGGCGTAAAGAAACCTGCCCATTAGTTTACTGTGCTCATGAATCGAACCTGGGACCACTCATTTGCGAGGCGAGCATGCTGACCATTACACCACACACACACAGGTCAAAGTGGTCTCTTCTATACAAAGTTATTCATCAATTACATCATGTAAATATTAATTCTGTAATATATCTACCCCTTCCACCGTGATATAGGTACCCCCCATGATATAACTACCCCCTCCACCGTGATATAGGTACCCCCATGATATAACTACCCCCTCCACCGTGATATAGGTACCCCCATGATATAACTACCCCCTCCACCGTGATATAGGTACCCCCATGACATAACTACCCCTTCCACCGTGATATAGGTACCCCCATGATATAACTACCCCCGCGTTAAACTTATTGGTCCTAAACCCTGAAATAATAACAGGTCATTAATCAGTTTGTTCAGATAAGACTATTTATTCCTGCTCCTACTACTACTACTACTACTACTACTACTACTACTACTACTACTACTACTACTACTACTATATATGAATGAATTACTAAACATTGTTGTATGGTTACAGATGTGGACGACAGTTGTGTTAGTGGTGGTGTGTGTGGTAGCGGCTCCCTGTACACATGCCAGGCGATATGACTTGGAATGTGAGACTCTTCCCTCAACCATACACGTGGCTAAAGGTAAGGTTCATACATACATACATACATACCTGTACATACTTACATATTATACATACATACATACATACATACATACATAAACACACACACACACACTGTACCCCATAATGAGCGATAACGACCAATTGTGTGTTTGTTTACAGAGATAACGACCATTTGTTTGTTTGTTTACAGAGGAGTTTGACGAAGCTGGACGTGTAGAGCGGACTTGTGAGGAGGACTTGGCCGTCAACAAGTGTGAGGGAGCCTGTGTGTCCAAAGTCCAACCTTCAGTCAATACTCCTTCTGGTTTCCTCAAGGTCAGTGCCAAGTCCGGTGATGATGTTAGTATTAAGTCCGGTTAAGTGACAGTGCCAAGTCCGGATATTAGGAAGAGGGCCAAGTCCAATTATTATGCTCAGTGCCAAGTCCGGTGATGATGTTAGTGTTAAGTCCGGTTAAGTGACAGTGCCAAGTCCGGATATTATGCTCAGTGCCAAGTCCAATTATCAAGGTGATCGTCAAGACTAATTATGATGGCCAGCACTACGTGGGTATACAAGAGCCAAATGTCCTAAAATATAAGCTTAGTGTCCAAACTTTAAGCTGGGTGTCCAAACTTCAAGCTGAGTGTCCTATACTTTAAGCTGGGCGTCTAAATTTTAAGCTGGGTGTCTAAATTGTAAGTTAGTTGACCAGATTTTAAGCTGGTTGTCCAAATTTTAAGCTGGTTGTCCAAATTTTAAGCTGGGTGTCCAAATTTTAAGCTGGGTGTCCTAACTTTAAGCTGGATGTCCAAACGTCAAGCTGGTTGTCTAAATTTTAAGCTGGTTGTCCAAATTTTAAGCTGGGTGTCCTAACTGGCGGCACACTGATCATTAAGGATTGGGGTCCAGTGCAAATAGGCCCTTACACTAGACGTAATGGGGCCCCTTTATAACTGGGGCCCCGTGAAGATAATTCCTCTCTCTTTTCCTCTCGTTTATACCTCTTCCATCCTCTTCTCCCTTCTACCACCTCCCTCCCCATCACCCCTCTCTCCCTTCCTTCATTCTGCCTCTCCTCCACCTCCCACTATTAAGCCAAGGTCACACACACACACACACACACACACACACACACACACACACACACACACACACACACACACACACACACACACACCTTACACCGTATATACTTCACGTCTCTATACTATAATTACAGTGATTACAAGACTGGCTGTAGTCAGGATCATGTACCCGTGTTTACCTGTAACCCACAACACCTGGTGATTACCTGTTGTTTACTGCACGTGGAGGAGGAGGAGGAGGAGGAGGAGGCAGGAGGAGGAGGAGGCAGGAGGAGGAGGAGGAGGAGGAGGAGGCAGGAGGAGGAGGAGGCAGGAGGAGCGAGGGAAAATTATGTAAAGGGTTATATTAGGTTATTTACTTGTTGTTGTTGTTGTTGTTGTCGTGGGTAAACTATAATGAAGAGACCGCGTGAGTGCTGGCCGCCTGTATCATCATGGTCACTAGTTCACTTCCTGTACTACCATGGCCCTGGGGTATGGTCCATGGCCACTACCAAGTTATTCCCAAAGTATAATCACCTCAGGCAACATAATACAGGTAACATGATTAAATTACAGGTGAGATAAATAGTGTTGAGGCGGGTCGTGGTGTACTGACTCTTTCCCTGTGTTGATGTACCCCGGCTCCCACCTGTCCACCTCGGGTCAGATGTGCATCTCAAGCCTTCGGCAGACTCCGTACCCGTGTCTTCAGCTGTAGGGAGCTGAAACTATCTACAAAGTTATAAGTATATCGAGCAGTGGTCCTCCCCACCCTGCTGTATGGCAGCGAGACATGGGTCACATACAGGAGGCACCTCAAGGCGCTTGAAAACTTTCACCAACGTAGTCTACGTTCCATCCTCCGAGTTCGCTGGGAAGACAAGAGAACAAATGCCAGTATTCTTGCTGACACCAACTGTGGGAGCATCGAGGCTACCATTATCCATGAACAACTACGCTGGACTGGCCATGTTACCCGCATGGACGACAGTAGACTGCCAAAGCAGCTACTTTACAGTCACCTAACGAATAGTAAACGTAACGCCGGTGGGCAACTGAAGAGGTATAAGGATAGTCTTAAGACAAACCTGATTAAGTGCCAAATCGACCCCCTCACCTGGGAGACGATTACTGCACACTGTAACGCTTGGAGGAGCACCACACAAGGTGTCAATACTTTCGAGTTAGCCCGACTGCATACCGAGGCAGACAAGCGCCAGCGCCGGAAAGACGCTGCCACCGCCCCTCCCGCACTAGATGTAGCCCTCCACACGTGTAACATCTGTGATCGACCCTGCCGGTCCGGTATCGGCCTCTTTAGTCACCTCAGAACTCATCAACCTAGGTGACATCCCTAATAACTCATACCATTATATCATAGCTGGATGATCGTCATACTTGATTCCGAGTAACAACTTCCAGAATCATTCCCAAATAAACAAAACACATTTTACTTCACCTAGAACGAGTACATTCAACCTCTAGTATATGGTCAGGTCTCAGGGTACAAAAGACAAAAAACTAACACCGTGAGACAAGAATCCGGATACATTATGACGAACATCAACACCCGGTCACGGTAATAGATAATGACGTCACAATGTTTATATTTTGAAGAGATCTGGTGGTGTGTGTGTGAGGGGGTGTTACGTTCACATACACACACTCACATGGTTGTAGTGCGTGTCATCATACTCAAGGGGTTAAATCATCATACTCAAGGGGTTAAATCATCATACTCAAGGGGTTTAATCATCATACTCAAG